GACGTTGATGGGGAGGTGTTTGGCCAGAACTCAAATCTGAATTGGGTGAATTAGGGAGTATTAATTACGGGTGATAGAGGTTTTAATTCGTTTTGAGTGTATAAATCTAATTTGTCAATTTTTTAGAGTATGCAATCTAATTTTCCCATGATTTTTTACAAGTGTTTTTTGATGAACAAGTTTTTAAAAAATAGGGAAAATTTACCCCAAAAAAAAAGGACAATTTTTTTAATAATATATGATTGAAAATGAGTATAAGAGAAAACTGATTCTTAATAAATCAAAATCAAACGAGGGCTTAATTACTTAATAGTAAATAAGCTTATGTTTGGCTAATTTTTTCTGGATTTTTATAAATACCTTGACAAAAAAAAAAAAACTAAATTATTTTTTATCCACACATTTCATAAATGTTCATAAGTACTACAAACTTCAGCACCGCTCATTAATACTGTTAATAAACATCTTGCCAAACATATTCTAAGCAAACTTTAAAATAATAATTGTTTTTGTTGTTCAAAGTGAGAATAAGTTGCTCATTTTGTTAGCAAATTTTAACTAACTAAAAAAAGTAGTTTTATGTACAATTAATAAATCAAATATTTAAAATGTTTGTGATTTTGAAAATTGTGAAATATAAGAGAGCAGGAGAGAGAGAGATGTGAGTGAGTCTCTTCTTCCTTTTTTTTTTTTTTCTAAATTTAAAATAAAAATAAAAAGTTTAAGTAGTAAAAGATCAATTTAAGTTGTCGAGTTCGATTCTTGGAAACTTACATCATTATTTTTCATTTTATCCTCGAAAAATTTGTGTAATTTGTCTCTTAGCTTTAATAAATCCATCCCCAATCTTTAAAACAAAAATTTTCAGTCCTCAGCCTTTATAATAAAACTTGACCTTTTTAATGAAAATGTTGTTGATTCTATTTTTGATAATTATGTTCATAATACATTTTAATTGCAAAGAAGATTCCTAATCTTCGCTCATTTTCGAACTTATATTCGTAACTTTATTCGTCCCATTCTTATCATCGGCTTTTTGTTAATAAGCACATCTTTTCTCTGATGATGATTTTCGTCAAAAATAATAGGTTAGAAGGACATTAAAAGACTTAATGGGTGTTTGGTGGGTATTGAAATCAGATTTTTAATAGATTGTGATAGAAATTTTTGAAATGTGTGGTTGAAAAGCTGGGGAACCCATGAAAGATGTGGTTAATATAGATTGTTTGATTTTGATTTAAATTAAAATATGATTTTAATCCGAAACAAACAGGGCCTTATTTTTTCCTTATATTTCTAAACAATAAATATAAAAGTTCGACAAAATATTTTTTTCTAACATCCGAACATACTAAAAGAATATTGGAATGAAAATTGTTATGAGAGACAATACTCTTTAAAAATCGACTACCAACAACCGTAGACCTCTAGGCCAAAAATTATGACTCTTATCACTAATTGGGTAGGCACAAGACTATACGCTTCACATGCAAGTCAAGGATGACCTAGCTTTTAAGGAGAGAGTAGGCCTAAGGCTCGTCACTACTTAATTTAGTCAAGCCCTCATAAATTACGATGCGTTTCGACTTCAATACTGAGTGTGTTTGGTAGAGATTGGAATCAGATTAAAATTGAAAAATTGGCTGTTATTGTTGACTTTTATTAGACGGGTGTGACCCAATAACGATTATATTTTTAATTTTAATTTGATTTTTAGTGTTACCAAACAAGCTCTAAAATTAAAAACATCTAAAATGTAATACAAATTAATTACAGATTGGTGGATATTAAAATAAGATTTTTTTAAATAGATTTTGATATAAGTTAATGAAATGTGTGGTTGAAAAGTTATAAAACTCATAGTTGAAATGAGTTGTTAACTTTGACTTAAATTAAAATCAACAGCAAACAGGGGCTGAAACACTCGATCCACATGATATGCCAAATTTTAAAGTTCAAATGAAAAANTATGTACACTTAGCATTTTTCTTAAAAGACTTAGTGGGTGTTTGGTGGGGATTGAAATTAGACTTTTAGTAGATTGTGATAGAAATTTTTGAAATGTGTGGTTGAAAAGTTGTGTGATCCATGAAAGATGTGGTTAATATAGATTGTTTGACTTTGATTTAGATTAAAATCTGATTTTAATCCGAAACAAATAGGGCCTTATTTTTGCCTTATATTTCTAAACAATAAATATAAAAGCTCGACGAAATATTTTTTTCTAACATCCGAACATTCTAAAAGAATATTGGAATGAAAATTGTTATCAGGGACAATACTCTTTAAAAATCGACTACCAACAACCATAGACCTCTAGGCCAAAAATTCTGACTCTTATCACTAATTGGGTAGGCACAAGACTATACGCTTCACATGCAAGTCAAGGATGACCTAGCTTTTAAGGTGAGAGTAGGCCTACGGCTCGTCACTACTTAATTTAGTCAAGCCCTCATAAATTACGATCTGTTTCGACTTCAATACTAAAATTAAAAACATCTAAAATGTAATACAAATTAATTACAGATTGGTGGATATTAAAATAAGATTTTTTTAAATAGATTTTGATATAAGCTAATGAAATGTGTGGTTGAAAAGTTATAAGACTCATAGTTGAAATGAGTTGTTAACTTTGACTTAAATTAAAATCAACAGCAAACAGGGGCTGAAACACTCGATCCACATGATATGTGTTTAAAATTTCAAGTTTACTTTTTGATGGAACAAACTCATTTACCCATTACACATATTATGTCGATAGTATTGAATCACATACCAATTGTTTATAATTAGGTGCCATTCTTGACATTACTCGCAAGAATTTTGAATCTATTTAAAGTAGAATTAATAGTTACAAAAGCAGGTGGGGAGTTCAATCTACCTCGTAATTTATGAGTATAATATATGCACTGCATGTGATTTAGTAATATTGTCGTGAGATATTTTTTGTAAAACAAGAAATTACAATAGCTCTATCTCAACGCGCGAAGAAGTCCTATTCATAAATTGTTGTTATAGATGGTACTTGATCTAAATTCGTAATTTTTTTTATGAATACTTCCCGAACATACATAAATTAGATTATTTATTTATTTAAATTCAATCTTCAACATAAATCAACTACCCTAACTATTATTGACACCTCTTTTAATGGGAGAAAGTCCTAAAAAATTTAAAATTGATGGATAGAATTTTGAAAGCAAAGAGAACCACAATGAAACATGAATTATTAATCAAGTAAACCCTAAGGGTGGGGGACACTAGTATTACAAACTTACTACCAGCAAAAGAGGGGACACAAAGTAACTTCCATTGAAGTGGCTCTAATGCAATTTTGCAATTTTCACTTGGGCAAAAATGGCAATTGCCTTCAAGTAGTGAATGTCTATTAAACAACTTATCCCTGAGCAAAGTGGCTGGTAAGTCAGCATTTTTCTGCCACATCAATTACTCTTTCTTTATTCTCTTCAAAATGAATGAGAGAAAGAAATATAGAGATAGATAGATACATAATATTTTACAGATCAGAGATGGCATGATTGAGAGAGTAAAGGTCTGTTAGTGCTAACCGTGTGAAAATGGTGAAGTGTTACTGCCGTGGGGTTTTGATTACCACGCTGTATCTCTGAGTTTCCAAATGCACAAGGTGACTTCTTGATTATTTGCACATGCTCAAACTCTCAATCCCGACATGTCCCTCAAATCCACTAAAAATTCTGACAAAGTTTAAGCTCAAAAGAAAACTCATTGCTTTACTGTAAAGCCACTTTGCAGCTTTTCACACATAGAATAGAGATTCTTGATTCCAGATTTGGATTGATCCTTCAGATTTTGGTGTTCTCTTTGTTCTAAAGGTAGCACAGTGAAAAGGGATTTTTTTTTTTTTGTTTGTTTGTTTGTGGTGGTGATGTTGGAATATGAATGGGCGAACCCTTCAACAATAATGCTTTCCAGTGAAGGAACTGTTCAAGAATCGAACCAGAACCGTCAGGTTTTAGACCATTACTCTGCTACCCAAAACGCCGCTGAAACGGCTAGTTTTATTAACCTTAATCCCCATTTTACTACCAGTGCCACTTCTCACCACCACCCATTTCATAATACAGACACCCTAAATAATAGCACCCAGCTGACTTATCTCTATGACCCACGCGTTTATGGCACCGCGTCAGCTTCATCCTATACAGCAGGGGCTTCAATGCTCAGTCTTGAGCCGGATAGACCGAATGGGTTCATGATGGTGCCAAAGGGAGAACTTCTGGTAGGTGGGGTCGAGTTTAATTCTAGTGCTAGTAGAATTGGGTTGGATTTGGGTGGTAGGACTTATTTTGCTTCGTCGGAGGATGATTTTGTGAACCGGCTCTACCGCCGGTCCATGGCAGTCGATCCCGGTCCGGTGAACTCCCCTAAGTGCCAAGCTGAAGGATGCGGCGCTAACCTCAACCACGCCAAGCACTACCACCGCCGCCACAAGGTGTGTGAGTTCCACTCCAAGGCCTCCACGGTCATCATCGCCGGCTTGACTCAGCGATTCTGTCAACAATGCAGCAGGTTTTACTATTTTTATTATTAAACGAACCTTTATGACCAAAAGACCCTCCCCATGCAGCTCATTCTGCATTTCAACACATTATTTTGTCAACAAAAGTCTGTAAAATAACATTAACCAGATAAATGGTGAGTTATGAATTGACTAAATTACCCATTTGTAGTGTTTAACGAGTTTATGATTGGTGGTGGCCTTACATGAGGTGATCCAGAGGGCATCGTTGCCGTGAATTATGTTTCCCCAAAAATTTCCTCCGTTATACGTTTTACGTACTGTTGGATTTTGATTATTTTTCACTAATTGAATTAAATTGGCACTAGCAGATTCCATACACTGTCGGAATTCGATAACGGGAAGAGAAGCTGCCGGAAAAGGCTGGCCGACCATAACCGCCGGAGGCGAAAATCCCAGCAATCAAACCAAGAACTTACCAACAAGTCTCAGCTTGATAGTGTCGGCGCAATTCATCCTCTGAAAACCTAACAAGTAAATATCTGTGTTTATCTTTCTCATCAACAATGTATTTTCTCCATGTTTTTGTAACCAATTAGGTCATGTTTGATACATACTAAACATTTCATCTTACTAGACAATACTCATAAAATTTTAGTTCTTCATTTTTCTTATTCGATACCGTCCACTGGTGTCTTAGTACATTGTTGGCTTGTTTGGTTTCTATTTAAAAGCTCGTCTTTAATATATCGTGTTGATTGTGTCAAGTATAGCATACCAAACATTTTACGCCTGATTTTTGGGGGTTTTGCAGGGTCTCCACCGGATTCCGGGATGCATTCATGTCTGTTACTGTCGCGATTTCAACACCAAGTGTATCACTGGATTGTTTTAGGCAAAGACAGGATGCCACCACAATTTCTTCAACAGCATCAACAAGCTCACTCTTTTTCACCAACAGATGACTTCTTATCATAAAAACATCTGAAGAATTTGCCAATTTGGCACTGATTTAGCTTTGTAATAAGATTGGTTTTAACCCTGCAGTTTTTTATTTCAATCTTAATTTCCTCGAAATGTTGATCAAATCTAATCTGGGAACTGGGTTCCTATAACCCAGATTTTATTTTTGTTACAAAAGTTGGGTTTGGCAGGGATAATCATGCAGATCCTATTACCATTTCCAGCATTTGCATTATTTTCTTGTAAAACACGGGTGAGTTATGCTACATGTACAAAGT